TTAAGAGTGAATATCATTACAGATCTTGATGAAATTGACATCATTATTGATAAATGCACAAATCTTCGGGATGAGGATGAAGAAATGATATGGGTAGAACAATACTCAAATCCTAGTAATTTTTATTCTGTTGCTGATAACTCCTTTAACTTTTGGGATAATCCCAATTCCGATGAATTTATGATGAACTCTTTAATGAATATGACCTGACCTAATAAGGTTTTCACTACTTCTCTGCCATAATCTTCTTAGCGAGTTTTAAGGCCTTCTTATTCTCTTTGGTCCTTTCCTTTTTTTCCTTAGCAATAGCTTCTTCAGCAGGAGTCTTTAATTTAATCGATCCATCCTTAGATACAAAAGTATGTTTATTAGTACCACAAACAACACATTTGCCAATTAATTTTTTTCGACCACTTTCAGTAGTTTCCAATTTTTCAGATGCAGAATTCGTTTTAGTACGGCACTTAACGCAATAAGTTTGAGCCATCTTTTAAACTTAAGATACATTATTTCAAATAGACACCCAAATGACATCACTTTGATTTTTCCGAATATCCTCAATTGCACTCAATCTCCCTACTAACTCATCTAATGAAAGGTCCAATCCACATATTCTGGCTTCTATTTGGTTATCAGGTGATAATCCATGAAAGAATCGATGTTTAAGATGATCTTCATTATATCCAACTGATTCATTACATTTTTTTACTTTTGTGTAATATTCCATTATTGAATCATCCCCTTGTCTCAAATCCCCGAATCGAAACTTTTGAATATCAGTAGGTCCAGTTGAGATTCTATTCAAGTGATTGACTATCTTATTTATGGGTTCATTGATTCCAAACCGAATTGTATTTATCTTGTTCTCTGGTGATAACCCAATAAAAAACTTTTCTTTGATTTCCTTATTATTTATATCGACTCTCAATGCTATAGCATATGTCTTTATCATTTTGAAATACTCATCTATTGATGAATTGCATTGAGTGGGTGCTGGAATATTCCTTGAACCATATTCTGAATAAGTTTGAGCCATCTTTTAAACTTAAGATACATTATTTCAAATAGAAACTCAAATGGCATCACCAATAGATCGTTACTATAAACTCTTTTCATTATCTGGAGTGTCTCCCAAATTATTAAAGAATGAGGAACACTTC